CCCCCCCTTTGGTAGTAATTATTGAGGTAATGTTAAGCACTATATTAGTCACCTACTGCAAACGTGAGCCAAAAAAGCCATTAAGAACACCAAATAGAAGAATCAAATAAAATTCTGAGAGGGTTCTTGGGTGGTTTATTGGTTGGTTTTGGTTGTTGCTGTTTAAATTTTGGTGTGTTTGTTTTGTTTTATTATTACCGTAGCTACTGTAAAGTGATGTGTTTGGTCCCTTGTGTGGCCAAATCTGAATTCTGACCCACAGCTACTGTAAGGGAGGGACCTCCTCCTCTTAAAAGAATGCATCTCTATCCCTGTCGTTCTGGGAAAATACTTCCCTCCTGTTTTTGCTGTTTTTCAGGACTTTCTAGACTGCAGCAAAATGCAGTGGCCTTGATTGTGAAAATTTTTGCAACTGCTGAAAGCAAAATTGCATGAGCTACGGTTTTATCAGTGCCACATACTCTTGCCTCAGCACATTATCCATCTTATTTGGAGTTGCAGGTAAATCCCACTCTAATGACTTGAGAAAAAAAAATCATAACCAAGGGACAAGATATTGTTATAAAATGAAATTAAAGTATATGTTCTATGTTCTTTTTTTGTCAAAATAATTTTTTCTTGCTTAATAATGAATATTGTGGATAAATTGCAGAGAAAGTAAGTCTGAAACAGAACATATCTCACTGTCATTGGCCAAATATAAAAAGATGTCCTATTTAGAAATATGTCCAAAAAGTGGAAATAATTCTGTAATTGAGGATCTAATATTTCTTCCACTCATCTTCATTTGTATATACATGATTGCCATTCATAACCCATGGAAAGAAAGTCTTGAAACCACTGAAACAAAGTTATATATGGGGTTACTAATAAAGTACTGGCCTTTAGTTTACTCTCAGTTAAATTCACAGTTTCTGATTTAACTGATGTGAAAGTCAAAATGGTAAAACTTGTAATCAGACCTGAGAACACTTTAAAAAAGGATAGGTCTGATGCAGTGCGCTGACATTACAGGCTTCAGTATTTAGTTGAGATTATCTTGGCAGCTTTGGTGAACCATCCATGAGAAAAGTAATTGTATTTAAAATAGAACTGCAGGGGATGTAACCTGCTGTCCTTTTGGCAAGTATTTCCTGTGAGAGTGCGCTCAGTGCAAGCCCTTGGGTTCAGGACTGTGTTCTGTTGCCGAGCAGAAGTCAGACAGCTCTGGGGCTACTTCAGAGCAACCCATGGAACACGTTCTTAGTTTATTATGGAAGCATTTGCCAGCACTGTCCCTGCAGAACGCAGAATAAAATAGTGAAAACTTAATTGCTTTATCTTCTTCATGGTGCTACAATACTTACTGTTTTCTTAAAGCTTTGTATGACCACTGATTTTTATAAACCTTGCAGTAATGTTTCTATTTCTTAGCATATTTTAAACTCACAAGTGAAGAGTTTTTGCAGGTGCTTCCCTACTCCAAGGAGTAGTTTCAATATAGGGCCACAGGTAGGGTTTCTGCCTCTTATGAAGATATGAAATGTGTTGTCTTGAATAATTAGGTGAAGGCATGTTTGTAAAGATATTTCCTATCTTTTTATGTGTTTAACTGTCAGTTTCTGTATTTCTTGATTATCATCATTGTTTCATCTGGACTGTGGTCTGGTAATACTCCCATTAATGGAGTTGTGAGTACATCAGTAGCAAAGACTTCCTGATGACTTGTGACAGCATCTCTGTAACCTTATGAATTGAGAGATCCTGTCCCTATCTGCTATAAGTATGTGTGGGTTTGTGTGTACGTATTTTTATAAAACTAAAATGACACTGGTGGCAAGTCCCTTGATAAAAAGTATTTTGGTTTTAGAATACTTTTCTATAAAATTGTCTCACTGCTGAAACGAAGCTGCTCTGAGACGAAGGATGTCTGAGAGCTTAATGACCAGTTAAATGATAAAACCCAAAAGACAGTGATAAACACAACCCTTATAACAGGGAAAGATTACTAATGAAGTCCAACAGCCTTAAGTGCTGTTCAACATAATTATAAATTATTTGGAATAAGAGGGTGACAGTTTGCCACTGAGATGTCTCACTGTCTTTTGGCAAAACTCGCTCCATGCTGCACAGAGCTAGGGAGCGTGAGGGAATTTAACCCTGTTTCAACCTTGTCTGCAATTACACATCTTGCTCTGCATAACGCTTGGATACATAAAGGAAAAAGGTAAACCATGGGAACAGGCAATTACAGGAGGCTAAGGAGCAGTCCACAGCCTGCTTAAGTGAATAAGTGAGAGCAAAAGAGGCAACTTGGGAGGTTTGTAGTCTGGGATTTCACATGGTCATGGCACTGTGCCCTCCTGGCATCATCCAGCTTTCACTGGGATACGCTTCTGCAGTGCCTTGGGATGTGGATCCAGCCCTTTAAGATTTGTGCTGGATTTTTTTAGAGTGCTCAGGACCCCCCTGGATGCTGTGAAGCCAACCCTGCTTCCTGTTCCTTGCATATGTTCAGTTTTGTTCAAATAAAAAGCTGTTGAAAATTTTAGAAGGATGAAACAAAATGAGAGACAAGCAGCATGTGTAATATAAAGTGACATAAAGAAACTTGTCTGCAAGGATTTAAACATTAGTAATGACGATGAGATGCAGGTGGTAGGGAAGGGTGTGGCAAACAGGGAGATTCAGCAGCAGTATCATGCATGTGTAATTGGAAAGCCAACATTTTAATGCAGCTGGTTTTCTAATTTAATAAATAAGCTAATGCTACAGACACTTAAATGGACAGAAGTGAGTATTTGGTGGAATTAAGGCATGAATTCTGTTAGGTACTGAAACAGGTGGTAAAATAATTTGCTGAATTGAAGTGTAAAACGAGGAACTGTAGAGTGTTGGCATAATGTACTGTATGACCTCTTTATAATGAGTGTCTGAGGCATTAGCAAATCAAGAAAGGAAGTCTCTGTAATTGAAAAAGATGCTTTGCTATACTAGCTTCATATTTAATGTCTTATGCTTTTTAATTAATAGGCTGAAGTCAAAGTTCAGCTGAAGTAGACTTTTTTTTTTTTGGTGGGTTCTCTTCTAGTAGGAATGATGCCTGTCTGGGTGAAAATAGACCTTTTGTAACCCATATCGGTATTTGAAGAATGCCTGCTTAGTACTGAGTTTCAGATGTCAATACTGTAGGGAATTTTTTCAGTATAATTTGTCAAACTTTATAGCTTCACAGGAAGAAGTATTTCAATGCCTCATTTTCAATATTTTTTATGATGCCATTTATTAAATATACAATTATGTCATAAAAATTGAATATTTTGTGGAGAGATGATGGTCTCTGGCAATGTTTATCTACCCATATCACTTCCTTTCTTGAAATAAAAAGTGTTGTTATATAGAGCGTGAAACACAAAAGGAGAGTGTGAGAAAAACAGGAGTTAAAACAAAGCCCAGTATTAAATAAGAGCACTATTGGGAGAACATTAGCAAATGCTAATGTGGGCCTGAGAGATACTGAGTCTTTTTCCAATATATTTTTTTCTTCTTTGTTCTATATAAATCTCCACCACACAGTCATTATTCAGAAGGGCAAATATGCAACAAGAGATTTCATGCTGGCTGTCAAAATTCACTCATTTCAGACACTTAGGTGTATCAACAAAGGAAGAGGTTGTTAGAAAATAGGAATATATTATTGGAGTTTGGAGAATGTATTATAAGGCTGGTGAACAAATGAACCATCATGTTTCTTGATCAACACTGACTCAAGAGGTGGAGGGAATTCAGAACTTCAGGGCCTTGCTAGAGGTGTGAGTGCCTCAGTTTTGATACTGCAGAAGTATCCTCCTTTTCAAAAAGAGTTAACAGAATAAACAGTATTGGACCTCACCTGTAAGGTACCCCCTTCCTGGGTTGGTTTATATAAACTGAGATTACTGATTTCTTTTCGAGAGAGACTTCAGAATACAAGATCTTGAGAGGTTTTTTTGTTGGGGGGTATTGGTGTTTTGGGTTTGTTTTTTTGTGGTTTTTTTTCCTGGTTAGCTTGTTTTTGCAGTTCCTTGTGTGAAAAGTTCTGGAAAGACTGAAATAAACTTGTAGAAGAAATCAACTGGTAGGATGTGGTGGTTAGTAATGAGGTGTCTCTTGGTACAAATACTTCCACTGATGTAAAATCATTGTTTGATGTAAAAAGATCAGTTTTCGTAAGAACTGTTTCCACCAGTGTGACATGAGCAGCTTTG